TCTTTCAGTAAAGAAATTTTTCCTCACGTCCAATCTAAACCTCCCCTGGCGCAACTTGAGGCCATTTCCTCTCGTCCTATCGCTAGTTACTTGGGAGAAGAGACCAACACCCACCTCGCTACAGCCTCCTTTCAGGTAGTTGTAGAGAGCGATGAGGTCTCCCCTCAGCCTCCTTTTCTCCAGGCTAAACAACCCCAGTTCCCTCAGCCGCTCCTCATAAGACTTGTTCTCCAGACCCTTCACCAGCTTCGTTGCCCTTCTCTGGACACGCTCCAACACCTCAACGTCCTTCTTGTAGTGAGGGGCCCAAAACTGCACACAGTATTCGAGGTGCGGCCTCACCAGTGCCGAGTACAGGGGCACGATCACTTCCCTAAATGGTACACTGCCATTACCTGGGAAGATCTTCTATTACACTGCAGTTTTTAAATGAGAGAGTAGAAAATTTCAAACACATTTTTACTATGGAAATTAAAAGCTTAATGACTGCATAGACAGGTTAAAGTTGTAGTCTGACTATACCAATTATTCAAGAAGTTAAAAAATCTTAGGTAGAAATTCAAGTTTAAACTATGAAAAGTTTAAACCTGCCTGTGAATGAATGAGGTTCTCACAGAGGCTACATCATCACAAAGACAAAAGGTACCGTACACCCTATACCAAAGAAAAAAAAAAGTCAATTCAGTATATTCAAAGATTGGTTTCTCAGCTAACATGTGTTGGAGTAGCCTGTTAGATTCAATACAAATCTCAAGATTTCTACAAGTTCAGAACAGGGTCCAGAGATTTTATTAGTGGAAGAAGTGGGGCACAATGGTTTTTAATAGTGGTGATGGATTATTCTAGGCAATTAGAGCATATTTAGCCTATCACATGGTTTTATACTAGTGCTGGTTGTAATAAAAAAAAAAAAAAGCTTTAAGGAAGGGATACAAAATTATAAAGATTGTGCTTACTATCTCTCAAAAAGATGGCACTTAATTCTCCCCTTTACTGAAGTAAACCATGCAACAGAGAAGCAACTTGTCAAGTTTGATCTTGAAAAGTTTGCAAGGAATTCAGCTGCCATTATAGGGTGGGATTTACCTCTGCTCTTGAAACTTGTGATCATCGCAGCTAAGCAGAAATGTGTGAGCTGCCTTTTTGCTTGCACTGCTGCCATCCTTTTCTTTGCATGCCTTTACTTCTCTAGCTGCAATGTTAGTTGTTGCAGAGGCAGCTTTAGTTTTTAAAGACAGAACCCTTCCTATTCCTTAGTCTCACTAAATGTGCTGTGTTCCTTATCCAAAAGAGGCAGATCATTTTCATTCAAGGCATTATTTTTGTATGACATATCACTTTGGCTTCCATTTTCCAAGCACAATACTAACTGTCAATGACTTTTTAACAAGAAGGATTGTCCAGCCAACTTCTGAGATTAGCATTCACATGACTGTGGGACAAAGCACTGCAGATTTGCCCAGTTTATCAAATGGGCCACAAGCTTTTATTATTTCAGGGAAAACGAAATTGGAAGTTGCTTCTTGAACTAATCAGGGCTGATTTGCTCTAAAGTTGCTTCCTGACTTAGATCTCAGGCAAGGAAGTGCTGTAATCAGTTCCCAAGGGCTGTGAGAGTAGTGATGGGATATTAAAGGAATGGTACACTACCTTTTAAGTGTTTCCTAATCTTGGTGGCTTCTCATGCTTAACACAGTTAAACCTGAGCTTGTTGTACAGAAACAGAGATTAATTTTATGAGGTAGCTCTATATAAGACACGATTTTACTCAAGGTTGCAGAACTGAATTTTGGAAAGAATATACTCAGGTTTCCTCCAGGGTTTGTACAGTTCAGTTAAAGATATAGCCTGGCAGAACTGTTCAAAACCAAACATTTACTACCCATCACAAAAAAAATAAATAATCTTCATGAAAGAGAAAATGAGTCCCCCTGAGTGTCACTGTTTGCATATTAGCCCATAGTACAGGCTCTGCCAAGTTACTCTCTGACTGACTGCTGCAGATGCTCTTTCTCAAGTATTCTGAGTGAGATCTTTAGTGCAAGTCTTCGGGGACAAACAATAGCACCTGTTCCTCACAAGATAGCAGCCCAGTTAGTCCATTCATGTATCTTTAATGAAGCTCTGGGGCAGATGGCAAAAAATGGCATCATCAACAACTTAGCACAGAGGAGACAAAAAGGGAAAGCGCCGATCCAACAATACGCTATTTTTACGAATGGGAAGAGACAGAGTCGGAGTGTTTCTCGGGCATCTGCTACAGTCTTGGTTTTCAGAAAGACCTGAGGAACATCTCAGCAATTAAAATTTCTGGGCATGTAGCCGATTTTATGAAGTACACCAATCAACCCCTCCTCCCAATTCCCTCCTCTCCCCCCCCCCGAGTAAAATGAAAATAATAATAATAATAAAACCCTCAGGAAAAAAATTGTCAAAAGTTAAGGTGTCTACTGTTTTATTGGCATTCATTTTACATCTTTAATAATTCAGCGATCAGTGATACTTGTACATTCTCTTCCTTTTTAATGCTTATTTGTGCTTTTCAGTTGACCTGTGCTGAAAATTGACACCTATGTGTATAATAATTCTGAGTGAAACCAACATTTACCTAGGAATAGTATTTAATATGTGCCAGAGGAAAGACCCATGGGAGGGAATGGTTGCCGTTCAGTATGGGCTTTTTTCAGTCTGTATTACTGTCTTAAGTGTAATCTCAAACTTACGCTCTAAATGTAAGTCACCTTTAGCCAAAGTTCCATTGATTTATATAGGCTGAGGACCTGATCCAGCATTCAGAGTAGTATTTCAAAGACTAGCAGATAGCCAGAACATGCAATGGTAATTTTCCACACTTACAGAATTGCTTTTATTTGAGTGTTTAAAACAAAATCTTTTTGGATATGGTGGAGTGGATCCAACTTTATAGGATTGCATTGGGAAGAGGCTTATGAAGTAACCATTGCAGGATTTGGCCTTATTTACGTGTTGCAAATGGATTTTGTGACACTATGGTGCGAAGTATTGCTATGGGTATGTATGCACCATCACTCTAACCACAGTACTCACTCTGATCTCTTCTATCTTGTGAGATTGTGTTGGTGTCTTGTACCTTTGCAACCCCATGGAAATACTTTCTGTGTGTGGTGATTGAAAGGGATATTTCTTAAGCCTTGGGTCCATTTGATTAGACTGTAGCTGGGAACTACTGAAAATGATTGTAGACTGTATTGTGTTGAATTCCTTCCAGTATATCGTATAGTTGTTTCTATCAGACAAAGCCTGTGGTTTTCATTTGCTGTACTCCTGTAGAGCCAGTGTAGAGGAACACTACAGAGCAAAACTAGCACCATTTTATCAGAGGTAAATACCTGTGCTGGGCACATGGGGATCAACTCCAATCTAACCAAGTTTAACTCATATCCTAAAATGCACAGCCAGGCTTACCTCAGCTAAAATGAGAGAAATAGCTGCTCAGAGCTAGTTTCTTTCACGCCCCAGTGCCATAGCAGTAATTGCACAAAGACCTTTTTATTATAAGTTGATTTTCCTGAGAAATGGATTCAAAAAAATACTGTAAAGTGTTTATTTTTTGCTTGACCTTTATTAACCTACATCTTAGGGCTTTCCCAAGAGAAGAGTTGTTGGTAAATTAACCCTCATAGACACACACAGTAGCATTTCTGCACTGCATCAATGGTTGTGAAAGTAATGGGGATATGACAAGAAAATTTGGCACTGTTTAAACAATGTCATAGGTCAACATATGGGATTTGACCAAAAAAGTTTTTTAGGATTGAAATGAAAAAAAATTGCTTGAAGTGTACTTTAACTTTTTAATAGTATTTAATGCCACCGCTTTATGGTAGGATGAGGGCAAAATTTTTTTTCTGCCTAAAACCCCAATTTCTTCCTACATTTACTAGCTTTGATATATAAACCATTATATGTTTGCTTAACTACTGATCAGAAAAATCATAGTCAAACCCTTGGGTACTTCTGGGGTTAAGGAATGATGGATAAAAACTCTTTGTGATCCTAGACACTCTCTCTGAAACACGTGTAGTGTAAATTAAGGAACTAGGAAATTAACATCTGGATTTAACAGACACAATTCCATCCCATCTTCCGTTTTCTATATGTCGAATACAAATGCTGGTATAAGGTGAAGAATTTTTTGCTTTTGCATGTTTGTGCTTTTTGATACATTTATTAAGGTCAAATTAAATTTGATATAGTAAGTTTTATTCTGAAATGGTCTCTGAATACAGCTCCATAATTACCAAGCTACATGATAGTGCATAAAGCTATAAAACTGCTTAGACAGATAAGCAATTTATATGTTATAGTGAGGTGTGTATGGCAAAGGATGTTAGTTTAATTGGGAGCCAAGATGTTGGAGCCTTAAATCTTAAGAGCTGGGGTGTTGACTAGAAGACTATTTAATACTGTGGTGAGATTTTGAAATAACATACCCGAGTTGTTGGTGTGTATATATATATATATATGAACAATACAATGTTGTAAGATCTCAGAATTAAAATTACCCTAAGGATACTAAAATTTGAACATCAAAGTAGCTACTGTAGTGTTAGGTTACTTCTAAAATGCTTGCCACTCTTCTGTCTGTGACCAAATATGAGAAAACTTGTGAAAAATTAATAGAAATATGTACCGCTGTTCTTTTTAAAGAACCTATGGTATGTTAGAAAGGTTTTGTACCTTTTTACCTTGTGCCAGGACAGGGAATATTAATTAAAAAAAAAAAAAGAGAACCAGGAAGAAGTAGGAAAACGTGCAGTTCACTGAGACTGTTACACCTTTGACACTGAGGGAAAACAATGTTAGTGAGGGCTTTGATGTGATAATGTGAAATTGGCAGGGATTACATTAAGGTGAAGGTTCTGTGGGACTGTGTGAACACAAGAACACTATCAGTACTGGAGAAATACCTGTCAAGACAAATTTGTGCTATTTCTGATCAGAGGCTCTCTTCTGTTTAGCAGGTTCAGGGTCACATGCCTCCGCTCATGATCCCAATTTTTCCACACGACCAGCGGACGCTGGCAGCGGCTGCTGCAGCCCAGCAGGGATTCCTCTTCCCCCCAGGAATAACTTACAAGCCAGGTAAGCTGACAGGGATGTGAAGCTATTTAACATTTTAAGATACTAACTGTAGCTTCTTGTGTGATCTGTCTCATATAGATGATGTTACACAACAGGCGTAGCTGGCTGGAAATAATGTGGAGGTTTGCAACTCCACTTGAAAAAAAACTTCTGCTTTGAAGGAGGTGGATGGAATATCGGTTATTGAACATCATGATTTTTTTTACCTTTATTTCCCACAAAATCATTTGCTCTAAATATATTGGCCCACTCGCCTAGTAATTTGCATCTGGTTTGCCCCATGTCATTATACAAAACTACATATCTTTAATTAATTCTGTTATCTTCAGTATACTTGTATTTTGTGCCAAAATTCTTACTCTTAATTAGTGATAAAAGTCAGAGGAAGTATAATTTAATTAGGAGGCTTCAAATGGGCAACTTTTTGTTTGATTTCAATCTGAATAATAAAAGGTTTCAGTAGATCAATCCCAGTCATCATTCAGACTTATAACAGGTCACATAACCTTGCAGTGAAATATGTTTTGAGATGATTTAGCAAATGTTATGATTTCTTTCTTTTTTCCTCTGAGTTTACAGGACTCCTGGGGAATTCAATTAGGGTTATAATGGTTTGAAGCTACTTTCAGAGCCTCCTTGTAAACAGGGCTTTAAATGTTTAAAGACACATTGCCAAAGGAATTCAATGTAGGAAGATAGTTAAGTAAATAAAAGTCAACCTTATTTTCATTTGTACATTCTTTGTAAGTGACCTCAGTCCAGAAGCAGCAACCTTATTTTGCTCATTAATAGCATTCCCTGTCAAGCTGCCTTTAGCATATTAACCTGATAACTAATAACTACAAAACATAAATACCAGTTTCTTTTTTTGACATTAAATATGAAATGTACAAAGTAAAGCATTGATCCTGCTCCCACTGATGTTAGTGGTGTTTTTGCTGTTGACTGCAGCAGGAGCAGGGTCAAATCCAAAGTAAAGCCTCATAATAGATGATGTAAACAGCATACTAATTAAAAGCCAGGTTGAACCTAAAATCTTTTCTAGCAAGTTTACTTAATATTATATGAAGTGAGGCCAAGCAGGATTTCAACAGGCATTTCTGTTTGTCCCACTCCCTTCTGTCTCTTTCGTCTAGAGACATTCCTCTTTAAACCAGGGCCTTTGTCCAGTTATTATCTTATTTTCAGGTTGAGAAATCCCAAAGTTCTTTTCCAGTTTGATAAACTGGTACACTGTATGCAGGAACCAGTTAATGGAGCTCTGAAAGGCAGCTAGCTCTAGATGGCACAGGATGATGGTTATTCACACGCATCACCACCTCACAACAGTTGGGGACCAAAGTGAAGAATATTTTGTCTCCAAAGACATAAGAGTTGCAAGTTGTGGAAATTGTCTACGACACCCTGGCTAATACCTTTCTTCTCACAGACAAGAGAAAGCATGTGCTTTAGTTTCCTTGCTTTTCCCATTTTAATCTGAGATGCTTTCTGAATAGTGACTAAGAATGATTAAGCTGTTGGTTGTGCTTCTCCCTGAAAGGTGATATGTCAAATCACGTTGTGTTGATTTTGGCTCTGTAGGCTACATGGTACAATCATGACTCAGGAAGAAGAGTACCAGCATGATTTCCTGCACAAGAACAGGTTTCTGCACTTACTCTAAAGTGTTCCTTACAGTACCTATCCTAACACTATTGAGCTTATACTGTTTTACCTCTGATCCTATTGACCTCATAGCAAAAGGCGATACAGCTTTAGGGCATTTTTTTTACTTGCCGGAATGCAGAAAAAGAGATCTATAACAAATGTTAAAAGATTGACATCCAGGCAGAAATCAAGGCCTAGATATCTCAGAATACAGCTAAGCTGTTTACTAGTATGTTAGTGGTTTATATCCAGCTGATGCTAGTAAGGACCAGAAGTCACAATGTTCTGACTATACCCAGTGGCTTGCAGGAAATAAGAATATTTATATATTTAATATATTTATTAAATTCTGCAGCATGTGTGGCAAAGGTAGCTGGGCAGGTTAGTAGTTTCTGTTGGAGAGACATCATGATAAAAAAACGGCCGTAACTACACTTGGTATTGATTAATTCCTATTTTTGGCACTCTCAGCACAGTAGTTAAGGAATTAATGAAACTGGAGATTAAGCTACAATCTTTCATAGAGAGGGTTC